CAGCCAGCAGGGGATGGCTGGGGAATTCTGGGAGTTGAAGTCCACACATCTTGAAGTTGCCAAGGTTGAGAAACACTGCTGTAGGTAATGCTTAAAAAGATCCACTCTCCTACCTTTTGGTTCTGCAGGTTTCAATCCGATGTGGGAAGAAACCCTGGTTTTCAACATCTGCATGCCAGAGATTACCCTGGTGCGTTTCCTGGTCTGGGACCATGATCCCATTGGGAGGGATTTTATTGGTCAGAGGACGATTGCATTTACAAGCATGATGCCAGGTAAGATGGATTTCCTGCATTCCCTCTGTGGTCTCTCTGTGATACTCTGGCTCTGAGAATTTGTCCGTGAAGGTCGGATTGGGGTGGTACTAAGCAGATATTAAAAGAAAAAAAATCTTTGCTGGGCGTGCCCCAAATCCTTAGTTCAAGCTGGCGTCATCTCAGGGAACGCTAGGAGAAAAATCTTGCTTTGAAACCCTGGAGAGACATTTGCAGATTAGCGTTGACCCAGCTCCCTTGAGCATTTGGTGTTGCTGCCTCTCAGCTCTGGAAGCCATGGAGAAAGGATTTCCATACCATGAATGTCATCCCATTCTTCCTCGCCCTGTTCCACCTGTCAATCATAACAAAAAAGCTTCTCTGAATTGCTGGTGATCTTTGCCAACCTCCCCTTTGCTCATCCCCAGTCTGGTGGAATCAGTGGAGCAAACTTCAAAGAGTGGGTGTTTGGGTTTTTTTTAAATGAAAGTGTCATTTTCATGGCAGCAGAAGAGTGGTTGCAATGAGGGCTTCTGACATTAAAAGCAGGCTGGAGGATGAGTACCTGCAAAATTGGGAGGTTTTTAATGTGACCCCCCCCCATCCATTTCTTCTCTCCCTCTGGGGATGAACTTATGCGTGGGCCTTCCTAGCTCAGATGAAAGCCCCCTGTGTTTCCATCTCTTCCTCCCTCTTTTCATTCTTCATCGTCTTCAAAGCTGGGGGAATATGGCAAAAAGAATTTTTTTTTTCACAAGAAGGGAAGAATCTGTCTGGCTTTGAAAGAAAAGAGTGAACCAAAGACATTTGGATTATGACAATGCTAATGGCTTCTGGGAGAGCAGCAAATCAATTAGAAAAGATGTGATTGTCAGCAACGATTCCATTCTTTGATAACTGGAGAGAGAAGCTGCCACTGAATTTCACAAAGGAGCCTCTTCTTAGGCAAATGCATTGTAGCAGCAAGATATAAAGGAGGTGACAATAAATTAAACAGTTGGCATCTGGAAACCTCTGAGAACAATCTTGCTAATTTCGGCGCTGAATTGCTGCTGCCACCAGTTTGGATCACCAAGAGAGTTCTGAAGGAGAAGGATGTCTTCTGGATAGGACAAGCCTCTAAGTGGGCTGCAGCAAGGTCCCGATGAGTGGCAGAGTGAGCATGCTCCCAAGGTTTTGGGGGTATCTTCATTCCCCTGGTCTCTCAGTCTCAAGTCAGGTGACAGAGAGAAAAAATGGGTGGACCAGAAGAATCATTCATTGTATGTGCCTCTGCTGTGCCTTCTACTTAGCACTGGAGGGCTAGTGTGGTGAGCTTGGGGAAAGAAAAGAATATCTGATGATGGAGATAATCATTTTCCCTGGTCCATGTAGAAGCTTAGAAATATCAAGTTTTTTCCCAACTGTTTCTTAATAGATAATTTCTCCTTAACCCAAGATGAGTTTGGAAGAGTTTGCCTGTCTGAGACCCTTTCCTTAGCTTCCTTTTCTCACTCTTCATTGGCAATCCATTTCTTGGCATCCCTATCTCCTTCTGCTAGATTCTGGTCTTGTCTCACCCTTAATTTTCATCCATTCATCCTCCTCTTCCCTCTCCTTGGAAGGATCTCTCCAATGGGGGAGGTTGGGGGATTCTGGAAAGGATTTGGGCTAAATGAGACTAGAAGCCATCATTCACCCAACTTCCCTTGCTTTCAGGCTATCGGCATGTCTACCTAGAAGGCATGGAGGAGGCTTCCATTTTTGTTCACGTAGCTGTCAATGACATATGTGGTAAGGTGAGTAACCCTGGAGCCCAAGATATGCAAACCGGTTCTCAGGTCTGGATATGGGTGAGGGGATGTCTGTTCTGAGATGAATTGAGATTTCTTCCAGATGATATGGTTGACTTGTACTTATGGAAGGAAGAACCAAAAATGCCCTGTTTTTTCTGGTGTTTGAACTGATCTGCCCAGTCTAATACAGATATCTCTGTATCAGGAGGTTCACCGATTAGTTTTTTTAAACCAGACCTCAAAGCATTTCTGAGCATGCACCAGCTTTCTTGCTTTGCCCACAAAACTCAGCAACGGCCTTGGCCAGATCCTATCCTTGCTGCTGTTGAGATACCTTAACAAGGACCGTACTGATGATCAGTTGGCCCAGTGTTTTGGAGAACTCCTTTCCAAATTGCTTCTCCCTTCAGAGTAACTCTACTAACTTGTTCTCCCAGCTAGCTGCATTGTCAACACTCCAGTTTTGAAGGGTCTTTTAGTGGTTGAAAATAAATAATTACATTTCGCATTGCTTAAGAAGGAACATCGTTTTTCACTGCAACTGCTGAAGTGTGCGATATGATCTGGTATAATTGTGTGAGCAGTTTTTGAATATGGTCAGGTCATAGAATGTCACTGTTTAAATGCGTGTTAGGAAAGCTTCACAGTTCAGTTTTTTTCTTCTACTTTTTTTTCTTTTTTTACCTTTTCCATCATGCTGGGCATTCAGGGGAAAAAAAAATGTCCATGCTACAGCTGTTTTTTAAAATTATTTCCCTCTCCAATTTTCTTCCCTCCCCACCTTTGAATAAAAGAGGGCAAGGCCACCTTTCACAAATTTCTAACCTTTGAGTTGTTCAAAGCCCAAATTGATTCTGTTCCATTTGCAAATGTTTTGGCGAACAATCCATGCAAGAATTCATATGTTTTCTTGTGCCTGCTTCTCCAAACATATGCATCCTATCTGTACTATGCATATTTGATGGATTTCTTCTGATGTATACAACCTAATCATCTCAGCCAAGTTGCACAGAGCAAGATCATCAATCAAGTTACGTGTTTGTGCATTTCTAATATATTAATCCTAATTAGTCAAGCAAAATGGGTGAAAAAATATAGCAGAATGAACTACATGAGAGAAAACAGCTTTTATTATGTGGAAAACTGCCTATCAGAAGAGATCCCCACGGGAATGTCTTAAGTATTTCCTGCCGAGATGTTTGTCAGTTTGCAAACTGATGTAGAGGAATGATGCGAGAGACATCAGCTTGAAAAAATAAGAAAGGAAGAAAAAGAAGAGTTACGGTTTTATTCATCCGTGTTCTACTCATCCATATAAAGTCTATGATAGATCTCATTTTAAAAAAATACCAAATGCATCCACAGAATTAAACTGTTGGAAGTAGGTGCCTGAATATCCAATATTAGGAGCTGCATATCTGTATCATGGAACTCTTTCATACCCAGAGTTTTTGGAAACAGGAAAGCTGGTTTATTGGCTCTTCTGATCCAGTTGAGTTGGGCCAGGGCTGGGAAAGCAATCTGTGCGGCCATGTGCATCCATGTTCACAGTCTCGCTTCCAAGAGATCACTTCTCAGCTGCTCAGCTCTTCCTGGATAGCCCCATTGAAAGCAGGAAAATGTGTCAAAAGGCAGGGAGAAATGTCCTGGGAAGAACAAGTGAGTCTCTGTCTGGGTTCAGAGAAGCCCATCGGATTCCAGGTGCTGCGAATCCTGAAGGGAACAACCCAGCGCCGGAGCGTTGCGTGGCAACGTTTGCAAAAGCCCCTGGCACAGCTCTGATCCTCAGAACGAGGGGAGCTGGGAGGGGAGAAGTTAACACGTGAAGTTCAAGCCTCCCTCGGGTTCCTCCTTTCTCCTCTCAATTTGCTTTCAGCCAAAGCAGGGAGGGTTGGAGGGCTGCCAGTTGGGTGGTTTCGAATCCTTCTACAAAAAGCCATCTTGTCTGGAAAACCGTCGGTTTATAATCCCTCTAGGTCTCCTCCACCGAATGGGCCAAGCTTCTTCTCCTTCCCCTTCCACACCCACCCTGGAAAACTTGATGGAGGCCCGTGCCATAGTTCCTTTTCATCTTGCGCAGTTCTGGCCCCAAGCTGTGTTAGGTATCTGCAGGGTGGGAAGGAAATATCGAGGTCGCCTTTCATCCCGTTATTGGCTGATTATGTAAAGAGATTCTCCCAGCCCTTCTCTAAAGAAATATTCAACCTTTTAATCAATCCACAGGATGAACAGATCAATCCTGTCCTTGCTAGGAGTCAAGTCAAGTAGATGCTGTATCTCTTAATAAACTGAAGTCATTGCTCAAGCAGGAAGGAAATGGGGAAATTTGATTTCCTTCATCTTCCTCTCTCTCGGAAGCACAGTGTCTAACCATACACTAAACGTTCTGGGCCTTTTTTTTAAAGTATCAGAAAGTGAATTATATTGGTATTAAATAAGTGAATTAGGCACAGTAGAAATCAATTGTCCTTCACTTCAGATGGACATAGCAGAAGGTCTTTTTTTAATTTAATTTAATTTAATTTCATTTCATTTCATTTCATTTAATTAATTTTTTTTTTTTGCCACCTCTGGGGAAGGGCTTCTGCTGGGCTAGAGGGACTGAGAGTCTGACTCTCAATGCATTGATTTAAATCACTCTGATTTAGAACCATGAGGACTAGAAGCTTACTTTTCCATTACAGGCAGGACCATTATTTAATGCTATTTTGTTTTTTGGGGGGGGGAGGATTGACAAATTCTGTTCTTGTAATAAACTAGCTTACACACAGAGACAAACACACACACCCCCATTTGAAGCTTGCCTATCTCTTGACTGAAGGCAATTTTCTCCCTTTATTAACCTCCTTTGATCAGTCCCACATAATTTCTGCCCTCTTTGATTTCTTGCTTTTCTCTTCTTCTGCTTGAGTTGCTTTCTGATGGATAGTTTTAATTTGCAGCTGACGGCCTTTTAAAATCTGGCAGCAATTTGGGGACTTGCTGGATTCCAGTTTGCACAACACCCAGCCTGCATCTCCTTCTGTCCTGAGAAACCCCTGCTGTAGCTTGTAAACTCGCCTCGATTTTTCCAATTTCCCCAGCTGATTTGTTTTTTGATTGCTTTATACCTGCTCTTCCTGTTCTCAAATCACTTACCTACCCCTTGTTGTGTTCTCATTAACATTTCTGCTGCCTTTGACTTTGTGGGAATCAATATACTAATTATTAACTCTAATCTTTCTAAGGAAGAGATTCCCTCATTTTCTGTGTGTGTACTGCAACCCTAAGCAAGTCCCACTGAATATGGAATAAAACTCAATCTGTGCAAGAGACTATGGAAACATTTCTGTCTCTGGAAAAAGACTTCTCCAACTGTTGTTTTTTTAAAAAAAATTAGACTGTTTCATTCTCAATAAGACTTAATTATATAGAAAGGGGACTTTTCACCCTACTGTCCCCACACCTTCTTTTAATGACTTGAGTTTCATATGGAACATCCTTCTGCTAACGGTAGAAAACCATGACATCCTTGGAGAAAAATCATTTTGAGGTTGCCAAAGTGTGACCCAGAGAGGTTCTCTTTGAATCCACCTGTTTTGTCCATATCAAGGATAGACAATGGTGTCCTCTCCATGTTTTAAATAACAGTTCCCATGAGTGCAGTAGGTGAAGCTAGAGCTCTTGGGGGTTCTCCAAAATACCTAGAGGACATCAAGTTGACTATCCCCGATTTTAGATCCATTACATTTTGGCTTCAGTTTTGCTCCAGAAACAGTTGGTATCTTCTCGGTTATTGTTGCCAGCTAAAAACTAGACATGGGACAGTAGACATATCCATGGCTTTCCAAACCATCCTTTTGTATTCTCTTACTGGATACTAACAAACCAAAGAAACTTGAGGAAAGAGGTGATGATCCAGGAATAAGGATTCTACCTCAGATTGGTTTGTATTGCCCTTAAAATACATCAGGGGCCTACAAATTCTCTGGATGAGACCTGATGTATTGGATGTCCTGATATAGCTCCCTCTTCTGTGCCAACTGGAATGCACCTCTTCTTGGTCTGGGAAGCTTTGCATAAACTGGCCTTACTTAAAACATTCTACGGAATAGCCTTACTGAACCTCATCTCTACTGTGATGTGGCATTTGGCTCTGAATGGCAGGTTTTAATATTTAATCTTTTTTTAAATGGAGAAAGAAGGACATGTGATGTTGCTGACAGAGTGGGTAGAGTTGAACAATCAGGGCAGACATGGTTACCATCTCCCACTGCTATGCCTTCTGTTTCATCGGTGAGCTACCAAACCGTTCCAAATTCTGGACCTGCTGGAGATCACCTGGTCCAAACCCAGCTCTCTGTTGGATCTTCTGGCTAGGGCATCCATGAGAGATCTCAAAACAAGGAGAACTACCAGTTCTCAAGAGCATCAGGTCCTTCTAACCAATTTAGTCATTCAACCCAAAGCTTCTTACAAATGCTGCTTGCACCTAGCCTTTAGCATAGCTATTTTTTAATTACTGTAAAACCCTTCTTCCTCATATCAATACCTGCCTTTTATACCTACATCCTGTTCTAAAACAGGGATGTGACTTCAGCTACAGCATTATTTTTTGCTGAAACTGGGTTTAGTAAAAGCAGGGTTGTGTGTCTCAGATTTTGTCCAAGAGACAATGCATGGCTAATCTTGACCATACTTAACATTTGGGGTGGAGGGTCACGGTGGGGAAGAGTCTGATCAAAATGGGAAGGGGAATTTGGCACACACAGGCAGGGCCACATTTTTGGTTTGTATTGGGTGTGAGGGCAGTTGAATTCTCCTCCCTTTGGTGTCTAGATTTCTAAACATGGTAAAATCAGAACACTAACTTTCAAGCAACCAAGGTCGGAGGAGACTCCAAAAATATTTTTGGACCATAGATTAGACAGGGTTTCCACAACTATGTAGCTGAGGACTGTTTTTCTCGGTATTTCTTGGATAGAAGATAATAGATGTTAACGTGTTTTGTTGCTGTTACTTTGTGTACGCACAAAAAGACAGCTTTTGCCTGCAAAGTAAAAATGTTAAGATTTTAGCTCACTTGATTGCCAATGATCTGGCTGGAGGTGTTGGAGAATAGCCTTTTTTTTTTCTTCTTTCTCCTCCAACTGCAGAAGTGGTGAGTCCATGGCTGCAGAGCCCTTAGGTGGGTGAAAAAGACAGCAGTTATTTTCTATGCACGTTTAATATTTTCTGAGGACCGGTATTTTTTTTCTTTTTTAATAAGGACTTATAGGAGGCTACAGGCCACAATTAGGTAGATGTCTGGATTTTGGGAGAAAGGAGGAATGAACAGAGTAAAAAATGAATGCATTCAGGATAACGCAGATTGTGAATTTTCCCGCAATATTTCCTGGAATGATTTCTGCAAAAATCGGCGTTTGTGACTAATGATACGGGACCCAGAAAATCAAAGCAACCCCACAAAAACGAGAGCGCATCCTTTGAAATGTTAGCACTGAGCTGGAGAAAAATAGTGCAAAAGGAGCTATTAGGAAGCCTGGAATGGACAGTGATTGCCGTCCGGGCCAAACTCAAGGTTCTGGGTTCAACCCGTGAGACCCTTAATTCAAGTGATGTGGTTGGGAATTGGGGGAGCTGTACTTCCCCACAACCCAGAGGGGTGGAACTGGAGAAAGCTCAAAACTGGGTAAGAAATCATCTTCAGCACTTCCCTGACTTCTAAAATCCAACCGGGCAAAGCTGACAGATTTGGGGGTCCTTCTTTGCAATAAAGGAGGACCCAACCCTTTTGAGAATGCCTCGGTTTGCTCTGAAAGCGACGTTGCTCTTTTTCCACCCACTTTTCTGCATTCCTGGGGAATTTAATAATGTAAACTGTGTGATTCCTTCACCTGGCTCCCTTCGCTGTTTTGTCTCTCCCCCCTCCCTTTCTTTTGTAGTTTATTCATGTTATTTGTCTAATTTCTCGTATGTGGGTTTTGTGCCTGATCCTTTCCAGCTGTTGCCTCGATCTCTTGCAGCGTTGTCTCGGCTCGTTCTTCTCTGTGTCTTACTTTCTGCCTTTTACTTCTGTTTGTGATTGCAGTGGACTTCTCTGTGTCAAAAAAAGTCTCCTTTTAGAAGCAGAGCCAATTTAGACGCCTCGAAGGTACCCCCCCTCCCTCATGACCCAGGAAGGTGTAGTGAGCTCCGAGCATCACGCTTGCATGCTTCTGTAACCAAAAACATCATTAACATCTT